TGACGTCAGCCAAGCCATGAAAAATCAACTCGATAGTTTACCATTCTAAAAAAACGTTACAATTGACAAAGAAAAACGCGATCAAACCATGGCATATGTGCGCGCGCATTAAATTACAAAAAATTCGCCCGCGCTTAGGGGAAAAATAAATAAATAAATAAACAGATAAACAGRTTGGAGTTGTATACTCGCRMATTTGTGTAATTTAATGCGCGCGCACGTATGYCATGGTTTGATCGCGTTTTTCTTTGTCAATTKTAACGTTTTTCATTTCCCTGAGGATGGCCGAGTAGGCCGAAAGCTCGGAACATATTTATTAAATTAATGGTTGATAAAACTAACTATTATGATTATAAAGGAGTTTATAAGTTAAGTGATAAAATTTAAATTACCATCAATTTTCACTTTTAATAATTTGATTTTAAGAGAGCTAGTAATGTCTTGATCGTCTATCTATAGAATAGTGTCTTCTTATTTCTTATATCTATGTCTCAGGGGCGTAGCTTTTCTTTCGTAGCCAATAACTCGTAACGTAAATGGGGGATGCATAATGCGAACTGTAATCCGCTCTATTATAAGAATACATTACGTATTGAGCAGTGACGTCCACTTTTTAGCCATCCTGGGCAACAGCTGTAGTGGGTGTAAGTTTCTTTAATACTTTGTACTTTGAAACCAGACGAACCACCATAGCCACCACCTTTTCTGTAAATGAAAACAGCCATAACAAAATCATATATAATTCTACTTCAATGTAACAAATTTAAAAACTTGAAGACGGAATTGGTGAATCTTCTCTAAATTGTCACTAACTATACACCGAGTGAGGAATACTCGAAAAGGAAATCGCCTCAAAAGCGAGTGCAACTCATTACAAAATAGTGAATGACAAACCAAGTAAATAACGCTTAGGAAAAATGAAAAGTAACTTAAGCTTTAAGTGCAAGTCTCGACGGGTTTGTTACTATTAAGAGAGACAAAATAAGTATATTTTGTTGAACTCAAAACCGGTTAAAATGATTGGAAAATAAACTTGAAAATAAACCCAAATCTTGATAACTATAATCATAACCAATGAACCCCAAGAAAAAAGCAAACATTATGTAAAAACTTAAACTAAAGTATCAAGGATGGGAAACTTTATGTAGATTTTGCTTCACTGAGGTGAGTGC